AATTAACACTTATTTTATGTCATAGGAGCAAAAAAAATGGAGCTTCATTTTCCAAAGTCATGTTTTTATTCATCTACAAGTGTTACTGTTTCAAACTAAATATGTAATTGGCGAGTTAAATATTAAACCCCAAGCTAAATATTTAACTCCAAACAAAAAATGTATCTAGCAAGCTAAATATTTTTGCTGAATATTTAGTTAGTGAGTGAAATATTTAAATATAGCTTCAGGGCTAAATATTTTTGCTCCAACATAAAAATTTATAAATGAATGAATAGTTAACTTAGTGAAAATATGAGTTTGAAAAATTAAAAGTATTTTTTTCTCTCTTTTGACAGGCAGGCAAAATAATTGGCACCTAAATATTTGGTATTGATTTTTGACTTAAAAATTAATTTTACAAACGGCACCAAAAGAAGTGAGAGTCTATTAACGTCCGACATCTTGACTTTGTTGTTTTATTCTCTGCCTTGTGAACATTCTCCATTTCAAAGTGGCTTTTCTTCTCACGCACTGGTTGGTTTGTTGCTTTGGATGCATGCTGGGATTCACCGGGACAGTGGAAAATAAAACCCGGCGTTTTGGCCAAAATACGGGAACTATTCAGAGATCCTTCCGCCTTGACATAAACCTCGGTTCCATCTGAACTAAAGTAATCGTGCTGCCACCTTCACGTGTTCTTGGTGATGTTTTTGTGCCAACTTTATCTTTTGAAATTATCACCCAAATGTTTGGCTGTGGATCATAAAAACATTCTCCAGTAAGATTTGGGGTGAATTTTGTCTTTGAGCTCTACTGGACTACAGCCCCTTCAGTGTTACCACTTTCAACCTCTTCTGTTTTTTTCTTCAATTTTTGGATCTGCACATCTATTTTTTTTTTTTTTTTTTTTTACAAAAAAATCAAACCACATTAAACCACAGGACTATCGAGAAAACATGTTGCTGTCAATATTTAGATTATCAGTAAAATTACACCTAATCAGGAAAATAATTCACTTTAAACCGAGTTCTTTTAGGTGTGCAGCTGTTTTGTGTCGTCCACACAACATATGATGTGAACCTTATAAGTGTCACCATTCACACCCTCTTGCTGAAAATGAAACTGTATAAATAAAATATGACAAATAAAGTCAGATAAGTGAAGTAAGAGAAGTGAATTCATTTGTTAATGTGCCTGTCGTTTTTAAGAGCCGCTCATCGAATTGTAAAACTCACCGTAATGTTACTATCAATATGGCTGACACCACAGACCTGCTTCAACACAGTATTGGATTGTTTTTTGTTTTTTTTTAGTCACATATCCTCACTTTGCCTGCCCATATTTTTGGCCAGTGGAGTGGACTTTCAGTTCTCGAAACCACACAAAAAATACTCCTAAAAGCGCACGCGGGTCAGTGCAACACCGCAGGACTGCGAACAGGGGAGAAAAGCTGACAGGGTCTAAAGGACCCCGTCTCTTAACCCTTGTAGGATCTTAACATTCTATTTACTCCCCTTATCCTACGGGTCAGAAACGACCCGCCCTAACAAAACCCCCAAAATAAAGCAGCTTCTTTGAATTTGAAATCCAAAATCTATTTTGCATGATGAAACAATCTGTTATTTTCCATTCAATTCAATTTAATTCATTTTTTATCATGTATTTTTTTTTGTTACACAATACAAAAAGACGATTACACTTTTTGTTATCAAACCAAAAGTCAACAGTCTTATTTTACACACAGATAAGGTTTATTATTGTAATTACATAAATGTGAAGTTTGTACTTCTGAATTAACTATACTAAAAGGAAAAAGGTCAACAATTTGTAACGTTTTTTGTCAGAAGTTCATTCTTTTATATTTTTGAGGAAGTGAATTATAAAACCACTTCCCTCATAACACAACATGTGCTTGATTTGGTGAACAATTTTTCTTCTTATGTCGATCAACATCATAAGACGTTAAACATTTTATGTTCAACACCTATAGAAGCATTTTATTACCTTTATGTTGCATAAAATGTTGAAGATGTTCAGTATAGGAATACATTGTCCCTAATTTGGAAATTGTTTTCCACCAGTGCTGTTGGTTTTATGCTCCATTAATCCTTATTATTTGGTGTAACTCGGAAGTCGGTGCGCTCACTGAGCTTCAGAATGGCACACAAACGTCTCTTGTAAACGTCCCAGTTCAAGTTGCTGGCCACCCTGTTTGAGTAATGAGATCTGCCAGGAGCTCTTCTGCTGTGATGACTCCCAAAAGAAGCAGATGACGAACTGCGAAGAGGAAAAGCAGTTCCTCTGGATGGAAAACAGAATGAGGAAAATTGGTCGTACAGTATGGAAAGGATGAAAATGAAATGCATAGATGATGTCAGATGAGAGCATAGACAAAGATTATCCAGCTACTGAGTGGTGACAAATGGTTTCGTAATGATGCAGCATTATGGGTGTGCCACAGCAACGCTAATGAAGACCAATCTCTCCCCAGTTTCCATCCCCGTAACGAGGCTAGAACACACTGCTCACATATATCGGCTCTGCAAATTGACCTATTTAAAACACCGTGTTTCTGTATCACCCAAGTAATGGCATTCACTCAAGCAGACAGCGCCATTTACAGCAAGTACCAGGGGGGAGTGTGTGTGTGTGTGTGAGCAGAATGGTGCCGTGAAAATTAAAGAAGCCAGGCCAAATGAAATGTGTAATCTGCTTCATTTCACTTCCGCAGGAGGATGTGGGAACGTCTTCGAGCTGAAAGCCGTAAAAGTCCAGAGCTGGAAACAATAAAAAAAATAAATAAATAAAAAAATTTAAAAAAAACCTTGATGTGAAACATCAACCCAGCGAAACGTAAGCAGCGGGTCGGAGGATGTGCAGATTATCTCGGTCGTAACGGTTGCTGGATTTCATTCGTCACAAGCGGAAGAGCGATTCAGAGTCATCATAATGACGTACTCTGATGAGTATTTCAGCTTGGATTTAGAAACTTCAAGAAAACTTGCAGAATTGGTCAAATTACAGACCAAATGTATGAAAGCAGCTGTAGAGCTGGGTATGGAAAGGCTGGTGTGTTCATTTCACACCAGAGTAATCATTTTGGAGGCGATGATGCAAAACCACCCTGAAGACATGACGGATACGGGAGATTAGATCCTTTCGCCAGTAGGACGAAATGATTTGCTTTATGGTAGATCTGAGGATAGAGATTGAACAAGCAGTTAGCTGTTCATTTAACCATTCAAACTGCTGTTAATTCTCTGCATTTTATTTGGGTTTAATTAATATTTTTGAGTTGAAATGTAATTTTGACATTTAAGACACTTAAGGCACTTCACAGAACTTTTTAAAGTAAGTATTGTTAAGTTTTCTAAGAAAGTCATAAAGTTATTATAGGTAATATTTCCCATGCCGGCTTTTATCAGCATGACATTGTTGGAAAAGTAAATCAGTGATGGGAGCTAGTCAGATGTGCTCTGCGTCTGGTACAAACACAACCCTGAGTTGTCCATCTGAACAAAACTGCACAAAAATTTAAAGATGAACTCTTGTGAAAATAAGAATCAGCCGTATTTTTTCCTTTATGTTTTCATGTCCCTGGACATAGAAATATTACAATATAATGTCTGGTTTCAAGGACAGTGTTTCCAACCTTCCACCTCACAGAGCATCTCTTCCCCGTGACTCCCCCACTCTGATCCTTCAGACTAGCCAGCAGAAATTAGCAAATAACGTTGAAGAACTGCACATCAGCTGAGCTCATTATATGAGCTACTTCTCAGTGCAACACTGGTAAAAACGTTGTAAAAGGGTCAATCGATGTTGTGATGACTTCCTGAAGGCGAAGTTTCAAAAAGAGCAGGAGTTTCTCAAGCAGAGGCCCAAGTTCAAGATATTAAAATTACGAAGTCAAATTTCTTTAAGACATATTTGACATGTACATAATTTTTACAACAACTAAAGCTAACAGTTATTTGTGCCATTAAGTGATTCTACTCTACTGGACAACATAATACTGCCTCTTTCAGAGCAAAAGCTTAAAAAAGTATATTTCTTCAGGAGACCAGATATTAAAAATGAGACGAATTATAAGAGTCATGTCCAAATATTAATTGAACATTTACTTCAGCAGTGCCAACAGGGTACCAGAAGCATTAAAGCATCACCTTTAATCCCTCAACTCTAGATAGAGGTTCCATAAAACTATAGATTCCCCAGCTTCAATGAGTTTAATATTTAAAAAATATCTATAGACAATATGCAGTTTTTTCCTCTGAAACAAGGGGAACAAGAGGGGATTCGTATTTTAATTAGGAAACTGGTTTGAGTTGCAGCGCCTCCTTTAGAGACGGTTTTTATCCTCTGCTAAGAGTGCAGATAATTAGGCTGGACTGGAGAGGGTGTTGTTTTCTTTAATTACATGTGAGCTGAATGAAAGCTCACTCCCTAATTGGACTCAAACAGGATTCCTTATATAGACACACAGTTTCATATCAGTTTGTGTTTGATGAAGGAGTTTTTTTTTTTTGCCCATTAATCGTTGCTGCCGGTTTTTTATGTTCGTAAAAAAAAAAAAAATTATTAAAAATCAATGCTGTTGGTTGGGACTGACATTTGGAAAACACAAAGGCAACAAGGTGCATATATGCTACTTATATCCCTGTTCTTCTCTGCTCTAAATATAAACCTCTTGTTCAGAGACAGAAAGAGGTCACAGGAAGCTGAAGAAGCAACAGATCGGATCGCTCTTTGCCAGCCAGTGGACAGAACGTCAACAACTGAGGACTGAGTGTGTGACCAACTAAACTTCTGTGTGGACAACACCATCCCCACCAGAACCGAGAGACGTTTCCCTAATAATAAACCCTGGATCACTTTTAAACAAGAAAAAAGAAAAGCCTTTAAGGAACAAGACAGGGAGTTTTTGAGGAGAACGGGAGGAAGCTGGAGAATAAACTGCAGAGGAACAATATCAGAGATGAAGAAGACAACAGACTACAGGCAATCTTTCCTACCCACAGCCATCATCATCTACTGTAACTGAATAATTTTTAATTAATAGGAGTTACCACAGTGTCTAATTTCCCTTTGGGATCAAAACAGTATTTTTCAATTTGAGTTTAAGTACTAGAAGAATTAACTTGGTTGGGAATAAACTCTCAACTAAGAATCTATGATGTTGCAGTTCTTGATTAATTACAGTAAGAATAGAGAAATTAACACATAAACACAAACTTCTCTCTGTAGTTGATCTGTTTATGGCAAACAGAATCACACAGGCCAAGAAATATAGATTAAAAAAAGAGACACAGGAGAGCTGTAACAGTGACTCCAAAGGCATGGGCATCAAAACAATGCAGAAACAGGTTTCTAAAACATATAAAATTAATACGTATATATAAAAAAAAAACATCCTGCAAAACAGTTTGTATCAGCTGGTGGCGTTTAAAAGAAAATAAAGGAAATAAAGGCCCAACATAACATATTGGATGTCTTCAGAGACGAGAATAAACATCCACGGCATAAAAATACATTAAAAAACGCTCCCTGAGGGAAAATGTAAGAGATGGAGCTTATCAAACATTTCCTCTACATTCTTTCAAGCGCACCATGCTTCAGGCCTTTTTGGGACAGTACTTCCTCTCAAACTGAGCTACTTTGAATTTCCGGAGGCAGCCTTTGTAGTTCATGTAGCGGATCTTCCCGAAGACCGGCCTCTCCGCCCAGCCCTGGTCGTGGATGCCGCAGATGGACCACATGCAACCTGCGGAGGAAGAGAGAGTGAGAACACGAGAAACAAGAGGTCTCGACCTGTAACGACGCTCCTGCTTTTTCTCACCGACGAAGCCGTTGGGGTCCTGACCGTCCAGCTCGTAGCGGTCGTTCAGGTACAGCGCGGTGGAGAGCGCCTCCTCTGGCGAGCGGGTCCACTCCAGGATTTTCTTGGCCCAGTACATCCTCAAGAAGCCGTGCATCTTCCCCTCCACTACCATCTGGTACTGATGGGGAAACAAGTTTAGTTCAAATAAAAGATAAAAAAGAAATGCTAAAAATCACATATTCCCCTTCACAATTATACACTACTTTTTCTGTCTGCTTCTTCTATGCTGTTTGGAAACTCTTAGTTGAATAAATTTCAACATCTGTGTTGAAGTTTTAGTATCGACTGTTAAAAATTCTGAAAGTAGTTAGGCCAGTGTTTCTCACCGCCCCCCTGTCCTGCATGTTTTAGGTGTTTCCCTTCTGCCACACCTGAATTGTATCTCTGGGTGATTAACAGGCTTCTGCAGTACTTGATGGTCATGCAATCATTTGAATCAGCTGTTCTGGAACAGAGGCACATCTAAAACATGCAGAGCAGGGGGGCTGAGGACCAGGGCTGAGAAACACTGAGCTAGACGTTTATATTCATGCTCTTATTTTGAAGTGTTTATGTAGCAGTTCCATTTCCTCTCCTCATGCTCTCTCTCTTTATTTCAACATACAGACCAAAATAAGACACAGACAGTAGGTAAACATTAAATACAATGTTTATCTTGTATTTAATGTTAATGAATGTACATAATCTATGTACAAAAATTTTGACATAATGTAAATAAAATATGTACATTATGTCAAAACTAAATTGGTCCTCCAGGGTTGTAGTCTTTCAAGGGCAGATGTAATAGCTTTAGCATTAGCTTCTACTAAATACCATGTTAATTAGTATAGTAATATAGCAATAGCTCCTGTTAAATACTGTACTGGTGTTGTGCTTTAGCATAAGCTTCTGCTGCCAACCGTGATGGTGTTGGGTTTTTGCTTTAGTGGAACTAATGTTTGTGATTAACGCTTTAGGGTTAATACAACAAATTACAAAAATGATTCTGGATGCCTCTTATATATTTAATGTGGATTTTATCATACCTGAGCTCCGTTCCACAGCTTGTCGTGTGTTTGTGCTTTCTCCAGCTGCTCCTGGGTGTAAATGAACTCCCTCTTGTCTTTGGCATGGTCCTTCAGGGTCTTCTGGGCCCACTCATAAGCACCTAGAGGCCACAGCCACAATCCAAGATCATAACAGAAAACTTGAGTTCATTTTTACTAAATTCATTCGGAGAAATATCTGCCGCACCACTTCTAACAAGACCCCCCCTGCCCCCATCCTACTGACCTTCCACTTTGTCGTATTTCTCGTTGTAGAAGCAGAAGTTGTCGGTCAGCTCCCGGCGCACCACCAGCTCCTCGATGAAGGCGGCCACAGACTCGCTGGCGTTTTTCCCGCAGCGCCGGACCTGCAGCGCCACACGCTGGGCTGAAAGCTGGCCTGATCAGAGGAGGGGCACAGAAACGTATGTAGCCGGAGTCGGGTGAAACGAGGAGAAGGACATCAGACTGGACTTAACAGCTTTGGTGAGATCGGTGAAGATCTAACGGAAACATCTCTTGCCTACCGAAGCGGATCCACGGGGAGAGCTGGCTGAGGGCGGCCATGTTGGGGTCGTTGCGCTGGGTGGCGAACAGCTTCAGGCGGACATCGATGAAGGACTCCAGCATGGCCATGCCGGCTTCTGAGCCGGGCTTGGCCCACTGAGGCTCCCCTACTGTCCTGTCAACGTCCAGGGAGGCCAGGGTCTGGTCCCAGTCTACAGGCTGAGGCAGAGCAAACCGGTCAAGTCAAAGCAGCTTTGGACGTTCTACTCCTAATTGAACTGACTGAACAGATAATATTTGTTTTTACATGTTTGATCAAAGCTTGTGAAGCTGTTGGTGTGTTTAATTGTGCAGATATCAAATTAATTTGTAATTCAGTAAATTTATGTCTTTTTGGTTAAATATAAGAACTGTGTTTTAAGTCAGTTAAGCTGTTTTTCTGTATCGGATAGGAATCGACCGATACTGAACCTCAGATACTGGAAGTGAAAAATCTATCTGCTGGTATTTCCACAGCGTTTCCATACTTTTAAGCAGTATTTTGCTATTTTATATGCACAAATATTAAGAATATATTTCATAAATTTATGTGAACTTACTTTGGCTGTTCTCGTGGCAGCGTGTTGGTGTTTCTCTACAGGAGGAAAATCAGTGAGGAACTCAGGCAGAAGGTTGGTGATTTTTCCTCTGATGGTTCTGGCAGAGTACTCCAGCTTGGGTGAAGCTACCCAGCAGGGAACAATATTATGGGCATCAACCTGTCAAAAAAGGGCAGAAATAACAGGAGACAGTGGAAAAAATACAAATGTAGCTAATTTTATACCGTAGTTCAACACAAAGTAAAGAATAATTGCAACGTGGTATGAAAGGAATACATAGTCATTTTTGTTTCCAATGAAAACATAAAAATCTGATGTGCATGCGTGGCCACAAATCACACAGGGACACAGCAGACGATGGAAGACGTTGCTCTGGACCATATGGCTGAAAAACGCATCACAATATAAGTGTTTCATATCAGTCGATATTGATAATTGTTGATTAGTTGGGGGTTTTTTTGCTTCGAAATACTGCCGAACTGCTGCCGTGACCTTTCCTGTTTTATCCAAACAAGTTACTCAACAGGTTGTTGCTAGGTAACCAAAGAGCGAGCCAATTAATTTATGCCTCCAACCTAGCTTAGCTGGCTGAGAGAGGTTGAGCGGCAAAAGCCTTTACTGTGCCTACATCCCCCAGAATGCAGTGCGGTTCTGGATGGGAATTCTGTGAAATTATTCAACGTTCTATAAGATTTTTATGTCCTGGAATAAAATAAAACAATTAACCGCTTCCCTTCCACTGAACAGTTACACACTTTGTGTTGCTCTATATTACTAAAATCACAGTAAAAGCATTAACGTTTGTAGCTTCGACACGTCAAAGTTGTGTGAGTTGCTGTGAGTTATTTTCTGTGTGCTCAGCTCTTCCAACCTGTATGAGGGGGATGTCCTTGGAAAGCTTCTTTTTGACGTCGTTCAGCCACTGCTGAGGCTCTCTGAGCGGGGAGAAGTCGGTCACCACGGCTCCCAAAGCGCGATCTGACACGAAGCCGGGCAGCACTTCTCCCGGAGCCCCGCGCAGCAGGTGGAACTGGATGTTCAGCTGCTTGCAGTCCTGTTGGGATGCAGACAGGAGAGCCAGGCTGAAACTCACCGTTCCTCAACAACCTGCCATATGCAGCTTTTGATTAAAACGCCAAACAACTGACTCTTCCAAAGGTGTGTTCACTGGCAACAGGTTTAACTCAGTTACATAAACTGCTGTGGTTAGTAGGACGGAGGAAGTGTGAAAGCAGCCGTCTGTTTCCTGGTTCAGATCACAGTCCAAACATTTTCAGTGGGGTTAAAGTTGGGCTCGTTAATGTCAGCCTGTTTTAGAGTGGGCTAGAAAAGTGTTTGCCTCTTCCTGGTTTGTTTGTTTTTTTGCATGCACTTCAGTGTTTTAGAATATCACTGAAATTTAAATATATCATATACTTATTTATATAAACAGAATAAGAAATTGTAGAGTAAGGGACAAATTTACTATGTAAAAAAGCAATACTGCACTGTAATTACTATTATTAGACATTAGTTTTCTTGTCTACTGTTTTTGCCAAACAGGGAAGTGATATTTTCAAATGATATACTTTTATAAACAAGAGCTTAATTTATTGGTTTTGGATGCAACCAAGTTAAAATACTGTCATGCTGTAATTGATTTTTTAAAATCTCATCTTAAAAATATGCAGTGCATTCAAAAAAATGTTGCCACTGCATCAAAAATGGTTTTGATTATTTTTCTTAGCATCAAATCAAGTTTGAACGTTTAATATTGTGACAATCACACTTTGTGTTTAAGCAGATAGCTGCAAATTTCAGGACCAGGAGCTCCTTTCCTAATACCAGGATGATGCTGATACACCACCGCAAATTATCTTTACTGACTATAAGGCTGAATATTACAGAGGGTGTACGA